TTTCTGAGCCTCTTTTTCTGCAAAAAAAATCATAGGAGGCTGGGTGTGGTGGCTCACTCCTGTAATCCCAGCACTTTGGGAGGCCAAGGCGGGTGGATCACTTGAGGTCAGGAGTTCAAGGCTAGCCTGGCCAACATGGTGAAACTCCGTCTCTACTAAAAATACCAAATTATCCAGGTGTGGTGGCACACGCCTGTAGTCCCAGCTATTCAGGAGGCTGAGGCAGGAAAATCACTTGAACCTGGGAGGCAGAGGTTGCAGTGAGTTGAGGTCATGCCACTGCACCCCGGCCTGAGAGACAGAATGAGACTCTGTCTTTAAAAAAAAAAAAAAAGTACTAATGCCTGTTCCATGGTTTGTGTCAAAATTAATAATTTAGAAATATCTACTTTGTTGCCTGACATACAGAGTACGCTGTTAGGGACTTGATCTCTAGCAGCGAAAGGAAATACCAATAGCTTGAGAGAAACGGAACATATCAAGATGAATGCTTGCTTATCTGATTTTAGCATAGCAAGGTGATGATAAATAAAAGCGAATGTCCCACATTTTGGAAACTAATAATGTGAATGTCTGTTGAGATTATAGGATCAGACTTTCCCTCTGTGAGTCTTAGGTAATCCTAGATTAGGAAGTGAAGATTCAGAGTTATGCCCAGGACAAAGGCCAGAAGAGACAGTTCTCTGGGGCTGAGAGAAGGCTCCTTTGCTTCTCTGTTTTACCGGCCTCAAAGTGCTCATAAGCTGGAGTGAACAGTTCTAATGGGGATTGGATTGGTCAGGATAGGGAGTAGGTGGGGGGACCTATCCTCAGGGAGAAAGAAAACAAGGAACTGGTCCAGGATGAGGTCTGGGAAGAGTCCGTGCTTAAGCAGTAGGCTACAGAAATTTTTAATTTTTCTGGTGTCATCCTTTCCAATAGCCTGAAGCCTTCAAGTAAATTTTCTTCCAAATTATAGCTAAATCTCAGTTACACCCTTGAAAAATAGGTAAATTCCAACACCCATGCTTGGATACAAGCTGTACATGGAGAGAACAGTGATCCTTCTCTCCATCAGAATGGACCAAAGACATGGCAGATGCCATCAGACAACGTTTCTGGTGGAGCCAATGGCATTGTCTGCCACTCAAGCTTTTGTGTTGGCAAGATACAGAGGTCAGAATGGGAGAAGCTCAGTGACATTTTGGAACGCACTTGAGATGTTGCCTTTGGAGTTTCCTAAATACCAAGGACATATTTTGATTGTGGTTCTGGAAAGACATATGAGGGCTAATTTCCATTAAAATGTGCCATAAAAATGAGAGGAAGGGAGAGAGAGCCTGGAGCAGTAGTGTGCACTTGTAATCCCCGGGAGACTGAGGTAAGAGGATCACTTGAGGCCAGAAGTTTGAGATCAGCTTGGGCAACATAGCGAGACACTGCCTCTACAAAAAATAAAAATAGCTGGATGTAGTGGTGCATACCTGTAGCCTCAGCTACTTGGGAGGCTGAGGCAGTAGGATTACAAGACTTTGAGGCTGCAGTGAGCCACAATTGTGCCACTGCACTCCAGCCTAGGTGACAAAGTGAGATCCCATCTCTGAAATAATAATAACAGAAAAACTTTTTAAAGAATTAAGTGCTTCATTGATGAGACTTGGACCTTGGACCTTGTACATTAAATAAAGTGTGAGAATACTGAACAGATTTTTAGGCTGAGGAGTTGTAAGCTACACAGTAGAAATTAAAATGTAAGCAGAAATATCAGAGATACTGTCTTTACCAGACATTCTTAGACACTTCCTTTTTGCTATAGCTTTTCCTGTTCTCTCACTAAATCCATTCATTTAATCCTTAATTCATTCCATCATTCACCAAACATTCAATCCAACATTACTGAATGTGTACTACATGCCTCAAATAGTGCTAGACACTGGAGATACAATGGGAAGCAAAACAGACTGCCTTGCATTTGGGGAGTGTGCACGGTGGTAGAAATCAGCCTTAAAATAATAAATGTAACTAGGTACTGGGGCAGGGATGGAGGAAGTAATCAAGAGATCATCAAATGATTACACCCCAGTGCAGCACCTTATAGAAATGAATGGGACTATAATGTCTGGAAAAGAGGGAAAATTAGGTTTAGTAAAGGAATCTTAAAACATCAGAAACTCAGAAAGACTTTTAAGAGCCATTAAAATAAACGTTTTGTAAGTTGATCATCCACTGTGCTGGGAAATGATATTCATGCACCATGCTTCAGTATATAGGGATAGCAAATAAAAACACTTTTGTGTGTAGAGTTTATTCTTTGTGGAGCCTGATAGTCATACTGAATGGAAGTAAACTATTCTCTGGAAACAACTTGAAGGATAAAAGACCTGTAAACTTTTATTATTTTTATGTATTTTGGCTCTTCCATTGTTAACAATGTATCTGATAAAGAACATGTTGACTGCATCCTGCATTTTTCTGTTTATCTAAAGAGAAATCCAGTGGAGGTATTCCTCACAGGGAATTTGTTTTTATAGCTTGTTAAGCCATAAAAACAACTCCCTTTAGCTATTTCTTAAAGTGCATGTAGCATAGTGCTTTTTTTTTTTTTACTTGTTTATTTAAAGCATGACTTGAATTTTGTGAGGAGGTCCCATATGAACCTGAAATATCAAATTGTGTATCTACACTTCCAGAGTCCAGGAACCATCTGCAAACCAGGACAAATTTCACAGCCTAATTAATAATTATGTAGATAGAAAAATCCCAAAGACCCCTTCTGTCTTTCTTTAAAATAGTTCATATTTTTTCTTGTGTTATTATGGATTGATATTTCAGCTGAATTATAGGTTTAACTGGGAATAAATTAGAGAATTGCAATGTGGGAGAAGATCCTGTTCTTTTAAATTTTGGGTGCAAGTTTCTTCTTTAAAGAACTTGAGACCAGGCACATCCTGCACTCATTTGCATCAGTGGATAATGTTTCCACACTGATCTTTGTCTTTATAATGTTACCAAGAATCCCCAGGGGCCATGGCTACAGGGAGGCCTGGGAGATGTGTCTGCATATACTTGTGTGAAGCAGGATATTTAATTCCTGCAACTGTGCTTTTATACTTCATACATGTTGACTCTAAGTCTTCACTCATCTCGGATTACCAGTTATGGTATACTGGTAATGGATACCAGTATGGTATACCAGAGGCATATATCCATATATTATCACTTCTCTATAGTTATAATGATTTCTGTGAGTAGTTTCCAGATTACTATTTAAAGTACTTTTGTAGTACAAGTTTATATATATAAATGCAGTTATACTATGTTGTTTCTGATTACATATTTCATGAAATAAATTATTATTTTAGGATAAGTAAATATACATAATTAAAATGAATTTATCATTATATATTAAATGACAAAGAAAAGCTATTCTTATTTTGCTTTTACATTTTCTTTTCCCAGTTTTATTCTCACCCATGTTTCTAAAATACATCAAATACAAACATAAATTATACAAAAAGCCCAATAGTATACTATTTAATTATGCTGTAGGAGCAGAGAAAGAGTGCAAACTAGCATTTTACAATACAAGGTGTTGAAAGTATAAGGTTTGCTTATTTTTTAAAAAGTGATTAGAAAAATATAATTCTTTAAAGAAAATATCAGATAAACAGATTTGAAGATTTTCACAGTTTCTAGTCATCACCATTTTCTTGAGTATACAGAAAATTTGACAAGTACAGATATAAGAATAGTTTCATTTTGACACACTGTCATGAGGATAATATAAATAATTTCAAAAGCTCTTACAGAGAAACACAAGCTATTCAATTGTTCATTCCCAAGGAGAATGTTGAATTTATTTATATTGGAAAAAAGACTACATATTAACTTTAATTTTCAATGTCTCTGAATTGCTTAAAAGTTCCCTACTTTGTACATTGCACATCTTGGCCAAGATCATCGTTAACTAGAGAGTCACACCTCTCTCATTGCTGTCCCCAGTTGAATTAGACCCCAGATGTTCTCTTGCCTCCCAGCTTGTATTCCACACCCTTTATAATGCAATTCCACCTCAGACTTTGAATCTGAAATACTAGTTCTTTCAATGTCCATTTTAAGTTCACTTATATGCCTTAGCTCATTAACAAATTCAGTTAATAAAGCACATACTTGGTGCTGAGTCCTACATTTAAAAGCATTTAAAGAAAAAATCAGCAGCTACTTTTATTCTCATGATATGCTATTATGGGCTCAATTGTGTCTCCCCCACTCTGAAATTGATGTGTTGACACCCCAACCTTTAGTACTTGAGAATGTGACTGTATTTGGAGATAAGGTCTTTAAAGAATAATTAAGTTAAAATGAGGCTGTTAGAGTGGGGCCTTACTGCATTATGACTATTGTTCTTATAAAAAGAGGGAGAGACCCCAGGGATGTGTGCATACAGAGAAAAGGCAGTATGAGGACACAGCAAGAAGGCAGCCACCTCCAAGCCAAGGAGGGAGGCCTCTGAAGAAACCAAGTTGGCTGGCAACTTGATCTTGCACTTTCCACCTCCAGAACTGTGAGAAAATAAATTTCTGTTGTTTATGCTACCTGGCCTCTGGTATTCTGTTATTATAGCAGTCCTGGTAAACTATTAATTATATATATATATATATATATATATATATATATATTTAGTATGTACCAAAAGAAGTTGGTAACATGGTGAAAACACCAATTTGACTTACAATTAAAATTTTAAATCACAAAAATACATGATCTGATACAAAATGGGATTGAGGCAATCCCTTCTCTAACTCTAGCCTAGGTCGTCTACTGTCACCATGCAATGCTCTCTGCTAGGCTACTCTAGCCCCCTTCTCTGGCCCTCTTGAGCACCCATACCCTAAATCACTGGAAATATTTAACATCAGAACTTTATTCTGAACCCTATATTTAAAGCAAAGATGAGTATACCTGTTTATTTGAAGCTGGCGTAAAGGGCAGGTAGACAGAGTCCCCTTGCCTGCCTTGTCAATCCACCACTCACACCCACATGACACCTGGGACACCACTGTGTGAGGCTCACACTTCATTATTATATTAAAATATCCTCACAAGACAATAAGTCTCATGTTGAAACTACAGCTATACAACATACTTTATAAAATATGTCACAGAGTTGCATTAATAGTATAGCTCAGGGATGTGAACTATACATTGCTAGTTAAATAAACTCAAATCATCTATTTTTCTGAATTAAATAAGAAACCTACTGCCCATTCCGAGAATCTAAGCAGATAAACTACCTGAGGAGTGGAGTTCTGCTTGGAGTTGGTATGGTTTTGGCCTCATGGCTAACCCATATGTAGGAGTCAGGTTTAGCTGGGCTCTGGGGCATTTTTTCACCTTGAGCTGCTGCAGAACAGTAGTGATGAAAATGAATATCTCATTCCGTGCAACATCTTCTCCCAGACACTTCCAGATGCCCATTCCAAATATCAAAACTTTCTCGATGAGACTTTTATTCAGTTCTCTGTTTTCGTTTAGAAATCTCTCAGGTCTAAATAAGTTAGGATTATCCCAAATAGTTCTGCATAAAATAGACAAAAACAACATTTTAAAAAGAAATTATTTTCTCACTTTTTGCTATTATTGACAACTTTTCCACAATAATTTTGTTCTGCATGAACTACTTTAAGTTTAGAATATTTCTTATAAATTATATATAGAGAAAGGAGGTATACATAGATGAAGTGTGTATACATATATGTATAAGTACTTTTGGAGACATGATTATATAGAATTACAAATATATACGTCACTTTTACTTTTAATATTTGACAAATCGAGTTATATTTAGTACAATTACACTTAATTTTCACTAAAATGACTATCAATTCATTAGTGAATAAAATACTTAAAAATCTACTTTATAAATTTTTCTGAGTTAGATAAGAAACCCTCCACTCAGTCTGAGAATCTAAGCAGATGAACTCCCCAAGGAGCGAAGTTCTGCTTGTAGTTGGGGATAGTTTTGGCTTCATGGCCAACCCATACACTGGAGCCAGGTCTAGCTCGGCTCACCTGCAAGATTGGCTCACTAACTTTAAGGTGTGGGTGAGCCATAAATTTAATTATTTTAAATGAAGCATTCCATAAAATTCTCATAAGAATATTCCAAATTGATGACATAAACAAAAATTAATAAATATTCAGTATCTTTTGTTTTAAGCAGACTGAATAAGAATCATGAGACTGGGCCACATCTCTCACTCTGGTAAAAATATATTTAGGAAGTGGCCTTTGTACAATACAGAGAGGATCTGGGTCTTCAGAAAGCAGCTCTAATTGAGGGATTGCCCACAGTTCCCAAATCACTGTGTACCTGATTCTTTCTTTTATCTTAATCTTTTGTTACAGGCACCATATTTGGCTTGTTTATGACAACCAATGTTAGCATGTTTTCTGTAGGTCCTAAACCATATATCAGGGACTGACCTGGCTTCACAAAGAGCTGGCCCTTTTTGTGTATAGATGTCATCATCTCTCCAGAAGGAAAAACTGATTTCTGTCTGTACCAGAGGCCACAGACCTAAAGGATTAGTTCTCTACACAGTCCTCCAGTACATTTTGGTTTGATCTCATAATCTTTTAAAAATAATTTATTGTTGCTAACATTTAAAAGTCAGATTTCACATAAATGTGCATTTCCAAGTTCTCTTATAATTGTGAAAACTGACAACACTGGGATAATGTCCTGCTTGCCAAGAGCTCACTGAGCTGAGTTAGATGTGGCAGATGACCCCTGCACCACAATGCTTCACTGAGAGCAATTCACTTATTTTTGGTATTTTTCATTGCTCAATAGATGCTTGAGTTTGTGACCTATGCTTTAAGTTAATTAAATATGAGGGATTTTCTTATAATATCAAGTCTTGAATTACATACTCAGCTTAAACAAGTGCCTCCATACAAATGGTATCTCTTTAGTAGTACCCATGTTAACTCAGTTTGTTTGAACATTACTCAATATTCATTATAATCACAAGTTCTTGGGTTATTATTAATAGAATACTTAGGATTATACTAAGTAAGAACAAATGTCATTAAAATATACATTGGCTGTATTTCTTCTTATAGTGGTTTTAAAATGCTCAGCTGTGGAGAATAGAAGTGTCAATCTCTGTGACAGTAAGTGTTGCAGTGGGATAGGATATGCTTTGTCTTCTACCATCTTTCTGTTTACAGAGATTGTGAAGCTGCCTTTAGGTACACAGGATATAATCACCTCCCTCTCTAACAGCTTGGAGCCTGAAACATCAATCAGATGAGATCTTGGGTGAAGAGGAAAGGCTGTATAAGATATTTACCCTCTGCTGAGTGCATAAGAATGCAGTCTCTATCAGTTACTGGAAACATCAAGTCCTGACCACCACAAGTAGCACTTGGTTTCCATTACATAAAATTTACACATTTGGAGTTGAGTTCTACCTCTGCCACCTTCTGAACAGGTGACCTTAGACAATGTATTTAACCTGGCTGAGGGTTTTTTTATCTGTAAAACTGGGATCATGATAGCACCAATGCATCATGTTATTATTGAGGCTCAGGAAAGATACTTCAAGATTTTGTGCCTCGCCCACAGTAGGAGCCTGTAATCCTCACTCTCAGCACCACCATCACCACTGTCATGATCCTCACTTTCACTGCATCAGGAACCCTCCTCTCAGCCCTCTCTTTCATAGTTGATGAGGGTGAACTTCTAACTTTATTTTATTCAACAAATATTTACTGTGTGCCAATTATGTGTGAGGCAGTAATCCAGGTGCTGGGGTACAGGGAAAAGTATACAAACAAAAATAGAAAAAAAAAAAAAATCCCTGCTTGTGGCTTACATTCCAGTGGGGAATTTGAGACTGCATTTCAATATACTAGCCATGACCATGCAAAAGGTGAGCCCATGAAGTCCTCAACCCAGATCTCTCCTAATGAGCCCACTTTTGAAATTGGATTTGCCCTATGTTCGATTTTTCCTCAATTTATCTCAATATGTCACACTTTGCATTAAAGATGAGGGGAGAAACTGAACATCTTTCCAGTATCTTTCAAGAGAAACAGGAGTGAAGTTTGGCTAAGAATGTAAATCTTTTTCAGATTAATAAACAGTAAACAACCAAGCAAGCAAACAAATTTATTCAAAGATTAATTTTGGTGACTTACTCATCATGGTTTACTTGATACATGTTAATATAGGTGCAAATTTGCCTGGGAATGAAATATCCATTCAGAGTAGTGTCCACTGCAGTACTAGAAAGCAAAAAACAGCATTACAGCACATCCTGTCAATTCAAATTACCCATCCTTAAATTGCTGCCTGCAACTCACAGACTATTTTTATTTTTGTCTTTTTTTACTAAAATAATGTATCTTTATATATCTTCATTCTCTCATTAATTAAAACAATTTCCACTTCTTGTCAAATTATTTTTCTTGCATGAGTTAAGCATATTGTGCACTTAATATATTCAAAGCACTTCTATGAGCTAAACATTTCTGTAGAAATCTGTCTCAATATTTCTGTAACAGCATTGACCATAAGTAGGCAGATCAAATTACATCAGGAAACAATTAAGGGAATTATTAAGTACTTCTGTGTGCTCAATGTGTTTGTGTCTATTAGTAGATTAGAAAGACAAAATCTCACACTTTTTAGTACTGGGCATAAGGAACAATGGAATTGGAGCAAGGAAATCTGAACTTTGGATGTTGTCCTCAGTGAGATGTTGGGCAAATCCTGTATCTATTATGCAAGTCTATTTCCTAGCTATGAAACAAGGGTGTTGGTTGGGTTGAATGGTCTCTAAGTTGACTCTAAAGCAAATATTCTATTTTTCTAGTCTCATACTCAAACTCCTTTCTGAAACCTGTTTGCCTCTCCCATTTATACCTCTATAATTATTCATGGGTTGGATTCAAATCATTTTATGTTTCCTTGTGGCAGCCCCTACCTCATTACCCTACTCTCATACCCACTTCCCCAAGAGAAGCAGAAACATTTCAATTTGATGAGTTTGAGAAAAGGCATACTACTTCTCTCAATATAGAAGAAGTACATTGTCTAGCTACTTCTGGGATCTCTCTTCAGATTAGCCAATTTGTAATGAAGATTCATCTCACCTACAATCAGAAATAGGCTGAATTTATTGTCCTTCAGTGGAGACCTGAAGGTGTTTGACCTAGCCAGAGACTGAGAAGAGAAGTATGTCCATTTTGAGGTCTACTTGATCTAGCTCTAAGCCACATTGTGAAAACTAGCTCTGATTATTTAAAGAGCTAATAACATAATTTCTATTTTGCCCATGTCTACTTTGTGGCCAGTACTGAACTTTGGCAAATGATATGAATGTTATTTATTGAGTTTCTCAAAACCCAACAAGGGGAAAGACCAAACAAGCAATAGACTCGCTTTTTGGAAGGGTTACCTTTCCTCATGCATGGCTACTTGCCTATCTCTATCCACACTCCCACTGTGGATTCAGCTGCTCAGATTCTACTCATATAAGAAGTCATATGCTTCTATTTTACAGAAACCTGATATGTAAAATTTTATTTCACTGGTATTAAAATATAAGGGCGAATTGTAGAGTTTCTCTCTCTCTCCTTTTATATTCCTTAAATTTCATGTACATATGTAGCTGTCCACACAACTTTTAAGAAACACATATGCAGTAAATATTTATTAGGATATGGTTTGGTCTTTCCTGTGTGTGTGTGTGTGTGTGTGTGTGTGTGTGTGTGTGTGTGTATGTTATATGTAATAGCAAACTTTTGCTGGCCAATGAAAGGAGTCCCTTAGAACTTCCACTGGAGTGATTAACTTTTAGTTTCTTCCTGCACCCGTGAAATTCAAGCATAAACCGTTGAATCTCCCAGATGGAGAGAGATGGGAGGGGGGGCATGGCGCCGGGGAAATTTTTGTCCTTAAAGCTACACCCCCTCATGGACCTGGAAAGAGAACACATTCCCTCACTTTTACTTAAGTTTATTTCATTTAGTTTGTTTAAATTTATTTTTATCATATTTTGTGCCTTTTATTTTCATTTTAATTGAAAAACAATAAACTTCCAAGTGTAGTAGAATAGATCAGTGCTAAACAGTATAAGTAAGATAGCTTTTTTGTGTCCACAAAATTCCTGGTTCATATCTCACTGCTGTCATTAGCCAATGCAATAGTCCTTTTAATTTTACATTTTAATGTATTTCCTTAGTTTTAACAATACAATGAATACCTATGTCCTAATACATATATCTCGCTATTACTTGGACCCTCAGATGAATTTACTGGGCCCTAATTAGATGATCGCTTTCATTCCAAATGATGCCTATAAATTTGGCAGAGCCTCTCTGTTCCTGGGTGCTTAGCAGAAGTGTAGATAATACTCTTATGAAGCACCCAAAGTCACCTTATAAAAGTTGTTGGGACAGAAGAGTTGCTTTTAAATAGGTAGGACTTTTAAAGAAATTTTAAAGTTTGTTAAAATCAAATTTGCTTAACTGAGAGAGGATCTGACAGAGCAGCTAGAAAAAAAAAGGATCACTGTGAGAAAATAGTCACTGTGTGTGAATAAAGACAGCAAACAATGAGCAAAATACAGGGAACTATGTCACTTGCTGTCTGGCCTTGACTTTGCTCGGCTGGCAGTCTTGCCCTTCGGGACACTTAGCTAAGGACACTGCATGCTCTCACACCAATGACTAAATGATTATATCAGTTTCCTGGGAAGACAGATAATCCCACTCCTTCACTATTTAAAGGGGAGGGAAGAACAAACTCTAAGAATTCTAGTTTTTCTTTAACAATTTTTAATTGTGTGGAATAAAAACAGGTCAAACTACCAGAAATTTGGTTTCCCACAAATGTATTTAATGAAGCTATCTACCTAGTCTATGCTGCATACATTTGTGTGCTGGAAATTCTGGAATAAGATTCGGTAAAGTTTCAAGTATCTGCAAATGAATACTCTGTTTAATCTAATTGTGACATTAGCTTCTTTAGTTTACTGTCCAGCAAAATTCTAGGCTACTAAAAACCAATCCATATCAGAAGGAAGCTAAGTCTGCTCCTTAGATGAAATTAAGCAAGTTTGCATGACTTTTCATAGCCAAATACATATTATGGTTGGAGTATCCGTTGTTTGGACTTTCCATATTTTTCTGTCTCCATGATTAGTACACATAAAATAAAAGCTAATGACAGCATAGTTTAGTAATGAAGAATGTTCACAAAATATGCTTTTGCTGAACACAAAAATTGTATTATGGTATTTTAAAATAATATTTAAAGTAAGAATAATAACACAATGTACATTTTAAAGTACTTAAAATATTCCAATATCTTAAGATTCTTCAATGCCTCCACCCCACCACTCGTTGCTGTTTCAAAGGAGAATTATATGCTTACTAATGTGGAATAGTAAATGGAAGAAAAGAGACATGTCTGAATATTTCACTTATGAAAGCTTCTGTGTATGGTAAAATTTTCCTGTCTTCAAATCTGGGTGGTTTCAGCCCAATGTTTCCATCTTTAAAAAGATTATTTTTTTGATTTAAAAAGAAAAATGATAATTGTAAGAATTATATTTTTCACCTGAAAGCATATTACAAATTTCTTCTTGAATTTTGGCTTGAATTTCTGGATAGTGTATCAAATAAAAAAAGCTCTAATATAGACATGTTGATACTGTTTCAAACCCTAAAAAAGAACCAAGAGACCAAGTGTCATGGAAAAAAGCATAGTTAAATCAGTTTGCTCACTTTATTTCCTATTTGACTGTTAAGAATTAACAAAAAGAAATCTAAAGAAATTAGATTAAGAATTTAGAAGTTAGATTAAGAATAAGAATTAGCAGAAGGACAAAAAATAATAGAAGGACCAAAAGTCAGGAGAAACACCTGCTTTCTGCCCTTGCTCCTGAGAGCTCTTACAAAAACAAAAATCATCACCAAAATGATGAGAGGAGTGGTAATCTCTCCAGGAATGACTGCCAAGTCAAGAATCATTTTCAGGAATAAAACACCTAAAACAGAAAAATGTCAATCTCATTTTTGTAGTTTTAGACATAGACTAAGTAGTCTCTCTCCCTTTAAACACTTAGAAGGAAAATCCAGGCTCTTCAAGGTTAGTTGAAAGCTCTTCTTACCTAATGCACTAAGATGGCAAAATCAAATTTTTGCAAAATCAAATTTTTGCAAAATGAATGGCATCTCTATCCTAATTTGATTATTTTCACAGTTCTAACCAACAGACCCAAATCCTGCAAGGTGAGTCACTGACCATAGACAGAAGAAGAGAAAAGTTGATGGAGAAAGCAGCCTGGTGACATGGAAAGGGATGGAGGCTTCAGCAGCTGACTTTACACTCATTCATGGGAGGACCTCAGTGCCTCCACTTAAACTCAGTGAATCCCAGTTTTCTCCTCTAACTATCCTACCTTACAGATTTAGTCATATTCTTTCAGTAAATATTTACCAACCCCCCGATATCAAGCACTAAGGATGCAAAACAAAAATTCACAGGCTAATGAGGAAACTAAGTTAATAAAAATAAGATTAGAAAGTGGAAAGTGCTATAAAAGAATTGGGTCCAGAGTGGTTTGTCATTGTTTGTGGATTAAACAAGATTATTATTTTTTAAAAATACCTGGGACCAAGCACATTGGCTTACACCTGTAATCCCAGCACTTTGGGAGGCCGAGGCAGGTGGATCACTTGAGGTCAGGAGTTCGAGACCAGCCTGGCCAACATGGTGAAACCCAGTCTCTACTAAAATACAAAAATTAGCCATGTATGGTGGTGCATGCCTATAATCCCAGGTACTCAGGAGGCTGAGGCAGGAGAATCGCTTGAACCTGGGAGGCGGAGGTTACAGTGAGCTGATATCGTGCCACTGCACTCCAGCCTGGGCAGATGGTGAGACTCTGTCTCAAAAGGAAAAAAAAAAAAAAAAAAGTACTTGGTGAATTATAAGCCATTTAATGGATATCTAATTAGTTGATTGCCTATTCCTTCTGTCCTTGGACTTCCCAGGTTGTTTATTGGGTGACTTTCTAAATTATTTCTGCTCTATGACCATGGGTGGTTAATCTAAGAATGGGCCACTAGCCCAATATAAATCTTCCTTAGGAATAGGGAAGAGGACTGTGAAAGATCATCCTTTCTCTGGGCAGCTAGATCTATAAAATCTAAGTTCTGAAAATATGATTTAGTGGTCTTTCACCCATCAGGTGGACCTAAGAAAGCATATTAGAAAAATAAATGAGGTAGAAAGGAAAGAAATAAAAGATAAAGAGGGACCTTGTGACCTTACATTCACCACTTCTACCTTCAGGAGACCTAGGTACACTCTTGTTCCTAGGTTGAATTATTTCCCACTTAAACAAGCTAGAACTGGTTTCTGTTACTTGTGACCAAGAGAATCCTACCCCCTCCCCTGGCAAAAAAAATTAATGCTGTATATACATGCAGAATATTTTTATTAACTATTGTATTTTATGGTAACTATAGTCAGAAGAAAAGGAATGACAGGGGAGAAAGCAGCCTTCTCTTTACAGATGACTTGGAGAGACTTTGGACATTGCTACTGTTTAGCACCTCCAGAGGGAAGTCTAACGTGTGTGTCTAGACTTCAGAATCAGTATAGAAACCTTCAACCTTTGTATGTCTTTCTCACAAGGCTTTGGACCAATGGACCAATTACATCAAAAGTAATTGCTTTACAGAGACTTGGAGAGATAAAGACTTGGAGAGATAAAATTAGTGACTTAGAAAGGAAAATTTAGTATTCCCTTCTCTTAAAAGAAAACACGACTAAACTGTTCACATTTCTCGAATTATTTACAGAGACAAATAGCATTGATGGACATATACTCTTTGGCTAGTGTAAATGTACAGCTCTCTTTGATTTTAGAGAAGACCAACACTTCATTTCCTCTCAGCTTTAAAAATAACAAATTTTAATAAACTGAAAAATTATTTTGCAAACAGCAATGCATTAGTCTTCCAGTTCAGATGAAAGTGACAGTGTGGTAAAAACCATTCCAATTTGTTCTCCTATAAAAAGAACCAACAGTGAAAGTCATGTTTATCTTAACTCCCATAATCAGCATAAATAGCTTCCACTTTTAATATTCAAGATAACACATTGCCATGTATCTTATCTACTTATTTCCCCTTTCTTTTTTTTTTTTTTTTTTTTAAGGCAGAGTTTCGCTCTTGTCACTGAGGCTGGAATGCAATGGCGCAATCTCGACTCACTGTTACCTCCGTCTCCCAGGTTCAAGCAATTCTCTTACCTCAGCCTCCTGAGTAGCTGGGATTACAGGAATGCACCACCACAACCAGCTAATTTATGTATTATTATTAGAGACAGGGTTTCACCATGTTGGCCAGGCTGGTCTTGAACTCCTGATCTGACCTCAGGTGATCTACCCATCTCTGCTTCCCAGAGTGCTGGGATTACAAGCATGAGCCACAGCGCCTGTCCTTATTTCACCTTTCTAAGCTTCACAGATAAAACATAGCTAAGTACACCAATTTGCTTCGTATTGTTTTTTAAGGGATAAACTTTGGAGTTAAAATTGAGAGATACATTCTTTGTGGGAAACAAAAAACCATGACTATGCATTTAAACTTAGGAAAAAAAAAAACCAAGTACCTAATCAATGTAACGTCTACATGCAAAACTACTACGTGGCAGATATAGCAGCAAACAAAGTCTGCACTGTCTTTTAAAACTCACATCTCTGGAAGGTAATAAATCATCCTGCTATAGAGAGACCTGGAGAGAGAAAGCCATTTTTTCCCCATTTATTTTCCACTTTGAGCTGAATAATGAGTCACCAATTATTTACATCTAGTGCTTGCCCAGAAGAAAATTCAATTTTTTTGAGCATACACACACACATGCACACACACACACACACACACACACACACACACACAAAAAAAAAACTGATAGTTTCTACATTGACAGTAAGTTGCATTTTCAAAGCTGAGTAGTGAGTAGGTAAGAGGTATGCGTTGCTGGAAAAACATTGGACTCAGAAAGATGACTGTGTTTCCAGCCTCTTTCTTCCTCTATTTAGCAGTGGAATTTCTGTTAAATCACAGTCTCTCTTGGCTTCAGTTTCCTCATCTGTAAAATGGTAACGTCAGAGTAGATGTCTAAGACCAGCTCTAGCCTTCAATAATGAAAGCTAAAAGGGAAAAAGGGCAAAAGCCAAGTGTGATGCACATTGTTAATTGCCCAACAATACTATTTTTCCAGAATCTCCAGAACAGTTAACAGTTCATCGGCAAATGGAAGTAACTGTGTGATCACCCTGGCTTTTTTTCTCAGCCTGGTGGGCCCTTCTCGCTTCTTTTACTAAATTCTCTTTGGCGATTTACCAAGCTCAGATGCTTTGCCAACTTTCTCAGCAACATTCTTGGAAAGCACTGAAGCACATTCTGTTCCTGGTGTTTTGAGGATAAATTCAGGCCGAGGACAGGGGATGTAAGGCTCCCTAAGTCTTACAAGGGTGAGCTGCTATATCACACAGGGTTCAAAGTGAATCCTAAGCATTTTTTTTAACCCTGGTGAGAAAGACATACGTAGGTTCAAGGTTTCTATACTAATTCTGAAGTCTAAATACACACATTAGACTTCCCTCAGGAGGTGTTAAACAATTGCAATGTCCACATGGAACAATTACATCAAAATCTCTAGGGGTGCATACATTTTTCAAAAGTTTTTCAAGGTGACTATGGGGCATTTTCAGTCATCTTGAGGACCTTTTTTAGGGGGAAACTACTTGCCAGGATAATTATCCAACAGTCTCAACAAACCCACATTTCCAGTTGAGGACCATTTTTAGGGAAAAACTGCTTGCCAGGATAATTATCCAACAGTCTCAACAAACCCACTCAGCCCAGTTACAGCTTGGAAGGCTCACCTGTGCCCAGAAATCTTGCAGATCAGTGTGAGGAATCTGGTGCAGGAACCAAAAGAGAAGGATTTTGGCAAAGCCGTGTGTGTCCTAAGAAACAGTCTCTTCCACAGCAGCAGAGGGCAGGAGCAGAATTTTGCTTGAAGGGAAAGGACTGGTGAGAACACCCCTTCCTTGAAGACCGGGGAGGGGTGGACCTTTGACTTGTGTGGGGAGGAGTTTGGAGCTTAATCAGGGACACTAGGAGCAGGAGAGAGAGGTGGAGAGGCTTTTGTGGCCAGGACTGGGTATGGGGAGCTGGGAAATTCCACTGTGAGTGAAATCAGAGGGAATGCATTTGGAGCAAAGGCTTCTGGAGGAGGGAGTAGGATGGACACTGATCTTTGAAGAAAGCAGGACAGAAGAAGGGAGACAGAAAGACGAAATCATTTTAAAATTGCTGGTGACAAACGAAAATAAGGTCGAAAGATGTATACAATAGAAAGCAGGGAAAGAGAAACAGGGAGGAGTGGTACAGAGAGGTTGCTCTGATGTGAGTTTTGAATTCCCTTTCTCCAAAGTGCTATGGGACTTTAGCACCAGGAACATGCACACAGCTCTCCTGAGTTGTCAGCAAGTGCAGGGGCAGAAGGATCAATGAAACACAAAATAAAGGGAACGTAGGTCCCCTTTCTCAGATGAGTTTGGTAGATTCATCGGGAGTCTTCACCAACCAGACAGATCTGCATTTCCACACTAGAACAGTTAACTACTGAGTGCAA